CCAGAGGGTCATCGCCATCCCCACCCCCCCGGCAGAGAACGGGCACGCCCAGAGGGTCATCGCCAACGTCCGGGAGCGCCAGAGGACCCAGTCCCTGAACGACGCCTTCGCCGAGCTGAGGAAGATCATCCCCACCCTGCCCTCGGACAAGCTGAGCAAGATCCAGACGCTCAAACTGGCCGCCCGCTACATCGACTTCCTGTGCCGGGTGCTGAGGGGGGACGAGCCGGGGCCCGGGGCCGCCCCGCCCGGCACCAACCCGGCCCAGGAGAGGCTCAGCTACGCCTTCTCCGTGTGGAGGATGGAGGGAGCCTGGGCCATGTCGGCCTCGCACTGAGCGCGGGTAGGTACGGGCAGCTCCCCCCCAAGGCACCGCACGGGGTCATTCCCGCGGGGAAAATACTCCAGGAGTGTGTCCTCAGCTCCTTCCTGCGGGGAAAATACTCCAGGAGTGTGTCCTCAGCTCCTTCCTGCGGGGAAAACGCTCCAGTGGGGTGCCCCCAATTCCTTCCCACGGGGAAACTGCTCTAGAAGTGTCTCCCCAACTCCTTCAACCAGGGAAACTGCTCTAGAAGTGTCTCCCCAGCTCCTTCCCGCAGGGAAAATGCTCCAGCGATTTGTCCCCAACTCCTTCCTGGGGGGAAACTGCTCTAGAAGTGTCTCCCCAACTCCTTCCCATGGGGAAAATGCTCCAGTGGGGTGGCCCCAACTCCTTCCCGCGGGGAAAACGCTCCAGAAGCTTCTCCCTAACTCCTTCCCGTGGGGAAACTGCTCCAGGGGTGTCTCCCCAACTCCTTCCCGTGGGGAAAACACTCCAGGAGTGTGTCCCCAGCCCCTTCCCGTGGGGAAAACACTCCAGACGGGTGTCCCCAACTCCTTCTCTCGGGGAAACTGCTCCAGTGGCCTCTCCCCAACTCATTCTCACAGGGAAACAGCTCCAGCAGCATCTCCCCAACTCCTTCCCGCAGGGAAAGGGCCCCTCCCTGCCCTCCCCGCGTGAGGGATTTGCTCTGAGGAGCCGCAGCCCCCCGAGGATCCATCCTTTCATCCTTCTCTTCATCCCACCCTTCATCC